CACAAGCGGTGAGTACAGAGAGACACGACCCATCAGGCAAACACATCGCTGAAGTGGCAGAACAAGTACTGCAGTGTCAGAGCACTAGAAGAAACAAGTGTCAAGACTTCACCCAAGAGGGGGACAACATGCAAGGGGTCGTGTCTGCAGCCTGCTCAAGCGATGGAGGGAAGGCTTCCCCGGGGCAGTGCCGGTTCTGACCCGCACCAGCAGCTCCCCGGCTCTCCTCAACCTGCAGCTCCCCTTCAGAGGCCACGTCAGGCCCTCCGTGTTAGCAGCAGGGGAAGGAAGAGCATGACCAAGCTATGTTTGGAGCCCTGCGCTTCCTCCCTCCGTGCTAAAACAAAAAGTGTCCATACTTCCTTGAATAACAGCTGGGCTAATAAAAGATTGGGTTCCTGACTTATAAACCTCTGCAGATTTGACTTGGGAGTGATTTGTTAAGCAAAGATGATTAATGGGGAAAGGCATTTCCTGGCATGATTGAGAGATCTGAGGACCCCAGGTAAAACTTGGAGCCCTCAATCCTGGCAGTCACAAACCATCAAGATCATCGCTGCTGAAGACTGTTTCTTTTTTCAGTGAAACGAATGTTGGGCATGTAAAATGTGGAAGTGACAAAAAAGTATTTTTTTTATGTGGAGAAGGTGACATACAGCAATAGACAGGAGACTGTTAATAGCAGCCATCTCCTGGCAGTTAATACCAGGATGAAAATAGAACAAAAAACCAAACGGAAAATAGGACTTGTGTGTATTTTGTTATGTTTCTAATTCAGAATTGATGCACAACACAGAGACATGGCTTTTACAAAATCCCTTTCCTCACCATAAGTGTACAGCAGGCTATTCACAGGATGCTGATATGCATTTATGAAATTGAAAAGCTAGCTCCCATAGATTGTGTCATCATGGTGATGGTGAGATTTAGGAGACGATTGCTTTTGAGATTACACAGGGTATCTGACATAGATGTCGGTCTGGACACCGTTTGTAACTATGTGTTAGCTTGAGGCTAAATGAGAAGGGCTTCCGGCACAGGACGATTACCCAGTAAAATAAATAGGAAGTGTAAAGCTGCTCTCAAAAACCACTAGCCAAACAGACCTCATCTGTCAATAAAGCACACCGGATTTGGGCTGAAATTCCAGGCAGGGTTGGAAGTGCAATTTTAAAGGATGTTACAGCTCATTTGTTGCAAAATGCTGTATAGTAGCAGTATCAATAACTCATTTGAGAAGTTGCTGTTTACACAGAATGACTCTCCTATCAAAATAGGCTGCCTGGCACTGAGCAGTTAATGAGATCCTAGAGGATTTCCAAATAAAAGGTTAACATTTATTTAACTGAGAAGCTCTGTCCCTTGATAATTTGTACTAACACAATCCTCTGCTATACTTTCAAGTAAACACTGAGGAACCGTACTGATGTTTATTTGATCTCTTAAAGGTACTGCTCTTTCTAGAACTACGAATGTGACAGATACAACACAGCTAATTTCTTTCACAGTATAAAATCCTCTTCTCATTTCCATCAGATATCTAGAAATTAATGGTACCTTCAGATTGCTAATTGGCCAGTAGATTCCCAAAGGAAAAGGGTCTACTTACTGTGACCATGTCTGCCAAGACCATGGCTGACTTGAGTATGAATTCCTGACAGGACTAAGGCAAAATTCACTTGAGTATGAATTCCTGACAGGACTAGGGCAAAACGTACACAAGCTGATGATTCTGGTTTTTAAAATGTGAACTAGCAGCTACAATAAATTGCCTTTTACAGCAGGAACTTCTATATGTATATTTGTGTATATATTTCCAGATTCAGTGCCAAGTATATCTCAGGTGATTGCAGGAGATGTGTTAGTAACTACTCTGCTTATGAGCCAGTGAGAAGAGAGTCACCAGCGTCAGGTGGAGCTCAGCCTCGTGAAAGACGACGGATCTTCGGCCTCATAAAAAGCCGTGCAAGGAGCATGTTGTCCTTGAAATGCACCTGGTTCTGCCAAGCTCGAGGGCGGGGAGTGGAGGGGGGAATGCAGAAGCGTTGAGGGAAGTACCACCCACATTTTCATATTTCAGATGACATCCAGCGGAGCGCTCTCAGCACTGTTGTTTTCACTTCTCAGTTGTGCTGGGGGAAGAGCAATCTGCCAGGGCTCTGCCTACTCCCTGCCTGCGTTCTGCCAAGAGAGCTCCACGGGGAACGTGTGGGCAGCGGCGCCGCGCTCCCCGGAGCAGCAGGGCTGCACTTCAGCCCTCCCTTATGCGCCCTGCACGCCGCAAGGGGCTGACGAAGGGGCAGCGATGCTGCAGGTTAGGCATCAATAAATACAAACGTTTGGATCTTATCGGACCGTATGGGTGTTGGAGACACAGAGTGTTTTCAGTTTAAGAGTGCAGACTTGATTTGGGCAGCCAGATTATAAAGTTAACTGTGAATCCAATAAGTTTTGGCTTTTCCTCTGGCTCTGAATTATCACCTTCCTTTGTTTTGAGCAGCCTGCCGGAATTGCTTGCTCTGGGGCTGAAGCTTTGCCTTTTATGGCTTACAGATTTTGTGGCTAATTGCAAAGAAAGCCGCTTTTGGAAAGCCTGGCCAATGCATGCATGAATCACAGCAGCAAGCCATTGCTTCTGTCTCCCAACATGTATCATGGAACTATTTTCTTCCATTCCTTTTGTAGTACAGTACATTCCACGCTGTGAATCATTTTTTCATGCAAAAATAGAAGCCAGTGATGACTCTACGTTCACTTTATAACAGAACATCAAGAAATGGCAGCCTGTAAGTAAAGTGCCAGGTTTAGCGGAGTTGAAATGAACTGCTGCACAGACGGGTTTGAGTGTCAGCTGCAGAGAGATTAATAGAGGCCTAACCAAATGTTTCCTAAAAAAAAAATACCAAAAAAGAATAAATTATGTTCCTTGGGTAAGATCCAAACTGCCACATAAATGTGACAGGCCCAAAAGGGGCTTGGATATTGTAACACTAAATAATGCCATACCTAAAAGCAAAAACACTGTGAAGTGCTGTCATTTACAACGCCGAGATAGGTGCTCGTGTTCCCTGTGCATGAGAGGAAGGAACTAAGCAGCTAAGAATCAGATCTAGTGCAATCTGCACGCGCACGTGGGCCCGGGCTCACGGCCACTCTAACCCACGTGGCCGCTGCCCCCGGCACCCCCCGGGACGTGAGCCGAGAAAGGCTGCGCCTTCCTGCAAGAGACCCTGCAGACGTTCCCTCAGGTGCCTTAGGCCATGGCAGATGAACGTTGACTGGAGACTCCATGGTTTGCCAGCTGCTCAGCATGGACGATCATTTGGCTCCGCTGGAGGAAGGAGCTGCATTAATACTCCTTTTCCAATTCAGAAAATTAACTCAGGTGAGCTTAGATACCGACTGTGAAAGCTCAGTGACTTTGTCCCAAGTAGTCGCCCCTGAGGTAGTTGCTCCTCTAGTGTTAGAATAATTTGGGTATTCTCCAGAGAAAATGCATCCAAGTGGCTTTTTTTACAGGAGGTTCTGTAACTGGAGGGTTATTAAGCGAGGCGCAGGTATGAAATACAGCTAGCTCAGAGTTACACGGGTCGGCATTGTTACCACAGGTCTAGCTGGCAACCTAATCAACAACACCAAGGATGTTTTGAGTGAAATACTAAAAAGGAGCTGCAGTGGCCTTGATTCTGATCTCTTGCACCAAGACAGGCATTGTATTACAGCAGCCAGGGAAGTCATGTGGTAGAGTGCTCTTGCTGATGAGATTAGGATCAGCCTCTGTTCCGCAAAGGCTGAAGGCGTTTTAAGTTTTAAGGAATTGTAATTTAAGCAAGAAAGCAATTTTAGCCAATCATTTTTCCTGCCACATGGGCATGACATGCATCTAATCTACTCACTCCTGTCTTAAGCTGAAGAAATATTCATACTTTGAGTCATCTTTGATCTCAATTCAACTTAGCCATGTCCTTAAAATATACCTCCTCCTAAATCTAAACCTAGTAGATGCTGTACAGTTCTATTAAACCCTTACAAGGGAATTAAAAAAGAAGAAGAAAAAAGAAAAACATTGCTTATCTTGCCTATTTTTATAGGATATTGAACAATAGCAACCGCATACATTGCTTTTCAGTATGCACACCATAAAAGGCCTTCAAGATCAAATAGTCGGAAAAGGAAAGCTGAGAAGTTTTAATACTTCTCTTAAGAGATTTTGCGCAAAACCCGCTAAACATGAGCCCATGTGTCACTTTTCTTCCATGAGCAGTCTCATTGACACTAAAAAGATAATCAAGCAACGCAGTTCTTCATGAGTGGCGTTTAAAGGATCAATGGCCCAAGGCACCACAGAATACAAGTC